TGTGCACAGGACGCGATCCTCTTACCGCAGCTGCCCGGCGTCTGCTGGGGGAGACAGTGCAGAGCTGCGAACACACACCTGCAAATGCGGCAGCGGTGGCCGGTCCAGGCTCCGTGTATCAGGGCGCCGCATTCCCTGAGTGGACAGAGAGGCAGCATCAGCGGGGTCGGCGCGCATGCGCTACCCGCGCCCCTCCAAGCCCCGCCCCGCCTGGCCCCCAGACAGAGAGGCAGCATCAGCGGGGTGGGCGCGCATGCGCTACCCACGCCCCTCCACGCCCCGCCCTTCGTGTCCGCGCCCCTCCACGTCCCGCCCCGCCCCTGCACGCCCGCCCCAACCCGGCGCGGACATGAAAGTAAGGCGGACGGGCTGCGTAGGCGGAGGAGACTACTACAGATTGTGCCGTAAACTTTAAGCAGGTCGCCTACCTACTCTAAGCTTCTGCTTCTGAAAAATGGGGGAAATTCTACCCAAAGAAAGGGTAGAAAGGTTGCTTGTGAAATTTAAATGAGATCATGATAGAAATAACAGTACTTTATTAAAATATGCTAGATTCTGTGCTAGACACCTAATTTTTCGATTGTGTGAATGGAAGGAACTAAGACACAAGTAAGTTGTATAAATGAAGAAACCGAAACACAAATAAGTATTTTACCTAAGATCATACAGCTGATTAGGGAGCCAGGTTAGAATCCAGGTCTCACTCCAAAACCTCTCATTTAACCATCTGCTATTAGAATATGATGTTGAAAAAGAACACTTTTAAGTCATTCCGTCCAAGAGCCAAAATCCAAGTGGGAGGGATGATAAATAATGTCCTTGCCTGCTTGCTGCCTGCCACACTTACATTGTTTAATGAAAGAGCACTGGGACCTGCTCAGGTGCCTGCAGCACTCCTAACTCTTCCCATAGTCAACCTGACAAACTTCTCCTAGTTTCTGAAGACACACTCAAGTACTATCCCCTTTGCAAAGCAACTCCTGACCTCCCCAAGTCAGAGTTACACACTCTTCTTTTTGACATTTCTTCTCTACCCTATGAAGTCATTATCACTCTAATGACTCTTTACATTTGTCTACCCCTCTAGACTGAGAGTTCTCAATGGCAAAGACAGTTTCTTTCTTTTTTTTTTTTTAAAGATTTTTATTTATTTATTTGAGA